CTACAGCTATGTCTCTGTTCTGATATTTAAGCATGAAAAAGGTCATCCTTGATAAAATTTTTCCAGCAAATCATTGGCTCTAGGGCGATGCAGTGAGGTTACAGATTAATCACGGGTGTAAGAAAAAACACAACAATCACAGTGTACTCTGATAAATTCCTCTGGAGCAACAGGAAACACACAAAACATAAAACACACATAACCAAATCTATGTAAATACACATACATCAGACTTGGCCCAAGGCATAAAACAAATGAAGTGGCTTTGTATGACGTCCAACAGGAAGCTCTAAAAATTTAAGATGAATGAATTTAAAATATGAACTCCCTGATTATGTAAATATTTAAATATAGCCTTCACTCTCTCATTTTACTGTAATATCCAAAATTGCAGCCTCACTGGGCCTGCTTTTTGGGACTGTGACAAAGAAAGAACCAGATATCCTGCAGATTGTTGGCCACTTGCACTCATTATGTTTAATTGCAGGTTTTGCTTTTTCTTTTTTTTTTTGGTTGGTAGATCTTAAAATGATGAAGGTTTTAGGGACAAAAACGTAAGTGAAAGTTATTTTTATTTGCTGACCTACCTTCTGGACAAAAATATGTTTTTCATTTTTCAGTCTGTCACATTCATATATAATTTGACATGGGTACCTATCAGTAGATCAGTCTATCTGTCATATAGTTCAATACTATAAAATGCAGTATGACTGAGAAATAACTTTCTTTACGATACAAAATCATATTTATCAGTCTTTTCTAGCACCCTGTTACCATCAACCCACCCAGTTGTAACATTGCGTTTTTTGTCGTTTTCAGTGGAATTGTACAAGAAAGGTAGGTGCTAGAAATAAAGTTTGTGTTCATTTGTAGCAGAGATATACCTGTTGCTTGTGTACTTTTAAAATTATTTAGCAAAAACCAAAATGTGTTAGGTTGTACCCCATGCTCCTCTATTTTGTCCCCCATCACTTATATTGGAGGCACTGTAAAAAGGAAATCATTATATGGTTTGTATGAACAGGAGGAATGATAACAGCAAGCAAAACCTGTCTCTGGTGTTCATATGGGCACCTTACTATTGTTCTAAGACAGACCTGGAAAATTGTGAACCTATCCTTTAACCGTCGTTTGCATAAAACGGGGTGGGAGTGATCAACATTATGACTGTATATCAACTTATACGAATCAATGTTTATTACATCTGGGAAAAGTGATAGTGCAAACTGGGAAACGTGAGACTGTGACGTGCATCACAAACTGCTTCTGCAGGGAAACTTCAGCCAAGGACGCACTGGTGCAGAGTGAAGTGTGAAAAGAGGCGGCCAATAACCATAATAATCGCCTACTTGATTATAGTGTCTGTGATCAATATTTATGGCGATGGATACAAGAGCCAGCAGTTTCAGAAGTGGATGATATTTGATGAAATATCTTTTTCCTTTTCCTGATGTACGAAAGATGAAGACGGGTTGGAAAGAGCGGTGTTTTTTTTCAGTAATAACCGACTCATCACCTTGGCCGGTCTCCAGCCAATGCGGGACAGAAAGGAGTGGCAGGGAGTCAGAGTCAGGAGAGAAGCGCTGCACTGTGTCTTTAAGCCTCAGTGAAATCCATCAGGGGAGTCGCAGCCTACAGGAGCAGTGTGTTTGTGCGCTCAGTGCAGTGGAGGGACCTGTTCCGTGTTATTACAGTGGATGGGATCTGGTGCTTTTTCAAGCGCGGGATCGTTTGTTCGTGCACTTCAAACACATGGAGTAGAGCAAAAGACTTCAAAACAGCCTAACCATGAAGTGCTCCTGGGTTGTTTTTATTTCCTCATATTTTCTTTTGCTGCCACTAACAGGTAAGAAAAAAAGACTCCAGCCTTACAGAATTGATTCTAATACTGCTGAAACAACGCTTTAGTGAGTCATGGTGTGTCCCTGATCTCAACAATAATTTAATTATGACGTTATTTTATCCTTTTACCTCACAGTAGTTCCCTGAGCTACTGTTATTACTGTCATATTCTTAGAAAAGACCGAGTGCGCTTTTTGCTTTGTTTATGACTGTATTGTATTTAATCCGTTTATCACCTACTGTAAGGTATTACTACAAATCATTTGCCTATAGGGCGGCTACTTTTTTCGTGTTTGAATTAGACAATTTTTAAATTATAATCCCCATGTTTTGGCAGCGTCACTGTTTAAGATAATTTCGCCCTTAATTGGATCAGTTCAGGCTTAAAAAGAAGACAATACTCATCATTGCGTATGTTTAGTGCTGCTTCTCATGCATGTTTCTGATGCCAGAGGGTTTTCCGGGAACGTGGTTGACGTTTACATTAATGGTGCAGTCTGTAGAACCTGTCATCTTAAGTTTACAGATCATATCAAGACTTATTTACATAACTACCATTTGTAGGAGATACCTCTTTGGCAGGCAACAGGTATGTATTGGGCTGAAGGTCATTTCACTTTCTCACACCTCTGTAAAGAGCAGTGTGAGGGTCAAGGCCTTTAAGGTTGGAATTAGGTTTATGTTAGGGTTGGGGTAGGCATTTGCTTAGGGTCAGTTTAGTGTAAGGGGCTGAGAATGTGATATGCCACTGAGAGTCCTCACAAAGATAGCAAGTATAAAAGTGTGTGTGTGTGGGTGCTTGTGTGTGTGCGTGTGTGTGTGTGTGTGTGTTTCCACTTCTGTTTGAGAAGTATCAATTATTTATTCCACCAAAATAAAAGGGATTAGGTTGTGCTCCTTAGCAGGGCAGCAGAAAGAACCAAGAAGAGCCAGAAAAGACATATTTTAACACAAACACCCACTGCAACACCCTGACATCTAACAGCTTTGACTGTTGTGATGAAAGCTTTGTGTTTACTCATAAAACAGCCTCAGGTCTCCTGTGAAACCGTTTTCTTAGTCAAATGACCCCCAGTATCATCTACAAAGCCCAAATTCTTACAGATAGCAGCTGCAGAGCATGCACTCACAGCCTATAGAGACACTGATATTGATATTTGGAAGGAGAGTTATTTGATTCCGCACACCTCTTCCTCTTGCTTTCTCGGCCCTGCCAGGCCTTCAGGCACAACAGTCACATGAAAATCCTGTTAGTGATATTGTGCCCATCATGTGGAAAGATGCAAAAGATGAAAAGAAAACTTGAAGAAGTGCCTGCTGGCTGGAAGTGGGTTAAGCTGAGACAAAAATGTTAGTATCATTTACTCATTTTAAGGGAATGGATTTAGGGGCCTTTAATGCATGATTACTCAGCGGGTAGACAGCTCATAATTATTGATTGGTCAGTTGAGCCATGGTGGTTAGATAGCACTCTGTGTTAAGGGGCTCTGTGCCAATCATACCATCCTATTTAACCATCACATAAACCACAGTGTTCTGGTCAACTCTGTTCTGTACTCTGTAAAACTGAAATGCTGAATTGATTAAGGAATTGTTCGGTCAAAAGAAAATAATCTGCAACTATTTTGATAGTTTATATATTTCAAGTTACTTTCAAGCTCAAATACGAAAGACTGCTGTGCTACAACTTCTTCATTAGTATCCATTGCTTTCTTTGTTTCTTGTGCTAATATCTCTAAGTTCTGAAGTGTTGGATTTATGGATTAATAAACAAAATGCTAGTAATACTGATCTGTAATGAAAATGATCTTTAGTTGCAGCCCTACCTGTCTGCTCTGTCCTGAGTTTGATCTTTTCATTGAATAATATCTGTTTCTTTCTGTTCTCCCCAGAGCTAGTGACTCATCTTCAGTACCGGCCAAATGCTTGGACACACCTTCTCATTCATCTGACTTTTTCTTTGTTTGGATTAGTTTCTACATTTTAAATTCATAGTGAAGACATCACAAGTATGAAAACACATGGAATTAGATAGTAAGCAAAAAAGTGTCAGTCTTGTTGTAGTGCTATATCCAGCAAATTACCTTGTTTGACTACTGTATTGATAATGAACTGAACTGAGTAAAGAGAAATGACAGTCCATCATTACATTATTTCATAGTTTTGATGTCTTTTGATGTCAGTATTAATCCACAGGCTAGAAGATAAAAGAAGAACAACCTTAGACTGAGAAGATGTGTCCAGGTTTTTGACTGGTGCTGTACATTAGAGCAGTTTCTTCTGGCCTGGAGCTTTACCTAACCTGAACCCATCACAGCCCTCAAAAACAGCATCCATCCATCCTCTGTTCCAGTGTGGTGTGAACCAGTCATCTCTCCCAGTGGGCCTCACATAGTTGTTCCCAAGGGAGGGAAGCTGGAGCTGCGTTGCCATGACAATGCCACAACGTCTGGCCCCCTGTCCAAGTTGAGGTGGCAGCGGGAGAAAGCGCGCAGGGTGGAAGGAGAGACGGAGGAGGGTGGAGTGGCTTATGTCAAGGTGTCAGCAGTGCACGCCTACCACATGGGCCGTTATGTGTGTGTCAACAACAGCACACTGGAACACAGTTCAATCTATGTTTATGTCAAAGGTGAGTTGTCATGAAGTTTGTGATTACACATATCCATAAATTAACATCTAATGTATTAATCCATATTCTCCCTCTTTCTTTCACCTCCTCAGACCCCCAGAATATCTTCCAGCGCACCATGGTGAATGTCATCCTGGTACGTGCAGGCGAGGACTGCACCATCCCCTGTATTGTGACCAACCCTGACGTCACTCTGGTGGCTTTGGAGACCTGTGATGGACGACCTTTGCCCTACAGTCTGAGTTACCACAGCAACCTCCAGCGAGGCATCATCATCAGCAATGTGAGAAAGGAATATGAAGGCTGTTACATATGTGTTGGACAGCTTGGTGGAGTCCAAGTGAATTCTAGCGCATACATGGTGGATGTACGACTTGGTAAGTAAGAGATATGATGGACAAGTAAGCGATATGATGTCCCAGTACTTGTTATATAAATATTTTTGCAAAGAGTAAAACTGTTCACAATCTCACAGCTGCTTGTGTGGAAGGGGGCAAATATGTTTAACAGAAGACTTGCCAGATATCAGAAGAAAGGCCTATGTCATGTGTGGAGGAATGATAGATGATAAAATTAGTTTGTCACTGTTCCTCACTCAGACAACCAGGCATTCTCAAATATTTTCTAAAATATGAGAAAGAAGACTATAAGATATCTAAAACAGCAATTGCTTGGTAGTGATGACTTGTTTGCCATGCCAGCAACTCCATGTCGCTGTATATAGGCACAGTGGGACATTGAGCTAACTGCTAATGTTGGCATGCTAACAACGACAATGCTAACATGCTGATTTCACACAACCGGTTTAATGTTTATCGTGTTCACTTATGTTTGCATATCAGAACTAGCTAATTAGCAGTAAAAAGAAAGCACAACTGAGTCTAATCAGAATGTTTTTAGCTTTTCAGTTAGTTTTTTTTTTTACTTGTGGTGGCACTAGAGGTAGTGTCAAGGGAACCAAAGTCAGCAGAGTTCATCTTTTGTCTGAACAAAGTTTCCTGGGAATCCATCAAATTATTGTAGAGACATTTCAGTCTGGACCAATCTGACTGGTCTACAGACTGACTGACATTTCTGTCCCTAGAGCTGCTAGCATGGTTAAAAATCTACATAAGAAACCATAGCCATGGCAATGAATAAAGCCTTCAACTATCCACACTACAGGTGTGTTTTAGCTCATAGATTTTTTTGTGAGGTATGTTACAATGAAATGTACTTAAAAGCAAGTGAAGAGGGCTGTTCAGTTACTCTGCATTTTCTGGTCTGTAGTGGAAAGAGGCCTACACAGAGACTTGCTGGGAGGAGTAACGGCATAATGTTCTTTTGACTGGTGGCTGATGTGAGGGAGGGAAGAGCAGGGGATTAGAGTCTCATAGCGAACAAAGCTCTGTAACGGAGCATGCAGGCCATGTTTGGAGAAAATAGAATTACAGCTGCCTTTGTCAAACACAGTCCCTGAAGCGACGTTAGCTGTCATTTATTGACAGAAATGAATCATTCCGTTTTTATTTGCACAAGTATCTACACAGTATGTAAATATTGTGTGAATGTGAATAGTCATGAGAGTTTAAACACGTTTCTTTGTGTATTGTTGGTAATGTTACTGTTGGACTTCTTGATCCAGTTCCAGAGGTACCGCCAGTGATCACACTGTCCCAGAAAGACACCATTATCCTAAGGAAAGGAGAACAGTTTGACCTCACCTGTAGCTCCATCAACATCAACCCAGATTTCAGTCTCAGTTGGGACTTTCCTTCAACAGCGGTAAGATTGATGTAGGGATTGATAAGCAAAAGAGATAGCATCTCCTCTGTTTCTATGTCTGGGTGACTACCCTAGCACCACTCAACTTTGACCTTGTGATGTCCTGCAGCGTCCTTATGAAACCCAGGCCTCACACATCCTGCCTGGCTCCCGTGGTTATCAGCGCGCCACCTCACTCTTGATCACAGCTGTGAACAAATCAGACTCTGGCACCTACCGCTGCTACGCCCTCAATGAGAGAGGTGCCAGTGCCACGGTGCTGCAACTGGACATTCGTGGTAAATGTTGGAAGATGTGTGGTCACATGTACATGTTCAGTCACAGGCAAGACAAATACTTTGGTTCTTTCTTGCGAATCCATTGTTTTTGTGGTGTACTGATTCATAATGCATGATGTAGATGATATACAGAGATCAATTTGGAGCACATTAGACTTTGACCTGCTTGGATTCTGTATCATATTATGTAAACAAACACTTCTGTCATATCCCTAATCCCCTACAACCACCAACCACAGCAACCTTGAACCACCCCCCTCCCAAAAAGTGAGTAAATGTACAACATAAAAAAATGAACATAAATAATACAGTATATCAGCAGATCTCATTTAAAGTAGTAAAAATACAACAATACATTGACATGACAACTGAATGTCTAGATTCCTTTGAAACACCACCAACAACTGACTATCCACTAACACCCAAAACAATATTTTTGAGGACTTATCAGCTCATTTGCATACTATGCAAACTAGTAGCTGGAGGCCTCATGGAAACATTTGTAAATATTCAGTGTATATTATAAAATACTGAGAAAGTCTGATTCAGACATGACTCAGGCAGTACTGGAATGGAATAAACGGTATATTATTTTATATTAAAACAATGAATATTTACTGAATCGACTAATGACTCATACAGTCTTTGTTTATTTGTACTTAAACGGACTACAGTTCAATGTACTTGAGTGGACTTTTCCTTTAACTTAGGATATTTCTGTTCTCCAGATCAGGGGTTCATTACCATTTTAGGAAGTCCAAGTCCAGTCCAGGCAGATGTTAAAGAGGGGGAGAGCCTGACCCTCAAAGTGGAGTTTGATGCCTATCCTTCACCTAGCTCCCTGTTCTGGTCTTACAATGGCAAGCAGCTCTCCAACACCACAGAGCACGTTATCACAATCCACCGTCGCAAATACAGGCAGGTTTACCGTTTCCCAAAGGTGTGAGCTGCGAGTACACGTTTGTAAACACAGATTTTCTGAAAAAGTATCTTTGTTTTATCAGATACATCAGCGAGCTGAGACTAGTTAGAGTTCTTGGCTCGGAGGGCGGGATCTATAAATTCTCAGCCAGTCATGAGGACGCATCTGTCGATCATTCGTTCCACGTGTATGTCAATAGTAAGTAACTCTCAGTTGTCATGTGTTGCAAAATAAGAACACAATTTCCAAGAATTAGAGCCTCTATCTCATGTAATTTGTAGATAAATTTGCTGTAAAAGTGCAGCTCTTGAGTTCTTCAGGAGGTTGTTGACAAGAAAAGAAATACTTAAGTACCTTATTTTGTATGCTAAGTATTTGTTCTTTCTATCAATCTACCCACCTCTTTCTCTACAAGGTAAGCCTGTTATCATTGCCCAGGAAGGGCCTGTCGATGGACAGGTGCGGTGCATTGCTGCAGGCTACCCGGTCCCTAAAATCAGCTGGTATCTTTGTGAGCTGCCCAACACAAGGTATTTTCCTTTGTCAGTGCTTTGTAATATTATCATTTACATCAAGAATCAGAGTATAACCATATTTCATTAGAGTTCAGTGTACCCCTCTCTTTCGTGTTACTTTTTAATGTAATCAGTACAGTGATGTGTAAATGCTAAAACTTAATCTGTTATCAAACAAATAAATGGAATAAAACAAAAAAATGATCCTAAACAACTTTATAACCATTAAAATAGGTGCTCACACAAGCCCAATGCCACCCAATGGGAGACCCCAGAGGTTGCCACGGTGACAGAGTCTGCCTTTGGTAGGAGTGAAGTGGAGAGCCGACTGAACATCAGCAAGGAGCACGCACACTACCACACCCTGGAGTGTGTGGCGAGTATGGAGGGGGAGGAGGCATACACACTGTTCTCTATCAGTGGTATGATGCTGTAAATACACACCATAAACACACACACACAGACACACATGGTCTTCGTCTTCCTCCACTATTATGACAGAGAACTGCTGCAGTGGTATTTGTTTGTTTATGTGACAAGGATTAGTCGACACCATAAAATCCCTGCCTGCGTAGTCAGCATACACTAATCTTGTTCAGTCTGTACCCAGTAACTGTTCTTAGGCCTTCGTAAACACAAGGTCAATGGGTTTGTGTGTCTGTGAGTGTGTTTACCATATGTTTGTAGTAATGCAACGCATTTGTGGTGTGGTACATATGAGATAATGTCTCCACACAGACAGTGAAGCCTTTCCTCTCTTAACTACTTTGTGCATGTGTGTGTGACAACCAGTAAATATTGTTTATACTTCAGTGCTCTGTGTGATTTCTAATTGCTTTTGTGCATTTCCTCTCAGAGCGCATCGTCCCCCATAAACTCTTCACGCCTCTTCTGGCTGGTATGCTGGCTACTGGCATCTTGCTCAGTCTTGTTCTAGTGGTGCTGCTCTATAAGTACATGCAGGTAAGATGGGAAGCAAATCATAAATACCATATCATTACTGTTATGAAGAACTAGCATGGTCACCGATCCCATTCAAACCCATGAATCAGTGTCAAAATTCATAGGCATCAATGTTAAATTCAATTCATCTAGGAGCACTGATATGCAGTTTGCATTATAAACAAATGACTGCCCTTGTTTCTGGCAAAGCACCCACTCTCATTTACTAATGACTCATGCCTTTATCTTGTTTAGAGTATGTTAAAGTTAGAAGCATGTTGTTGATAATAAACTAGTTTCCGTGCTACATTTGGAAATGATATGCCGCAGATTGCAGTCGAAGGATGTCTTTTTAATCAATATGAATATGACTTAATGAATCTGAAATGAATCAATCATTCATTCAGAGCACAGACATACTGTAGTTTAAGGCTTTTCTGACACTCCTGTCGCACCATGAGCCATTAATTTACCCCCACAGCATGCTGCTTGTATTGCACTCAGATGAGTCAGACTCCTTGAGAACTAGTTTATGAATATGCAGTGGGATCATCAGGGGACAGTCTAGATGCAGGCTGACAACTAAAGGACACAGAGTAATTTAAAACTGAATAGCAGAGTGATGAGGACACAGATTTAAGATATACAATCATATAGACACAGATACAGTAACAAACAATCCCGGTAAACTGATCTTATGGCTCATTTTCTCTATAAATATTCTCTTCAATGTCAACAGAAACCCAAGTTCCAAATCCAGTGGAAGGTCATTGAGAGTATCCATGACAACAGCTACATCTATATTGACCCCACCCAGCTGCCGTATGATTCCAAATGGGAATTTTCTCGTCAGAAACTACGCTTCGGTATGTCAAACTCCATGTAGCTTTGTATATTTAAAACACATCTGCAGGCATGTGTGTTTTTTAAATTATTGTTTTCTGCTTAAGTAATTGTGTGTATTGTCACAGGTAAAACACTGGGGTCTGGGGCTTTTGGAAAGGTAGTAAGGGCCACAGCATATGGACTCTGCTCTGCAGACACTGTTACTACTGTTGCTGTTAAGATGCTCAAACGTAAGTGTGGTGGCCTGCCTATGTCTTGTCTCGTCTGTCTCTGTGTCTGCATGTTTTAACAATATACAGTGTGCAACACTGTAAGAGTGCATACTGTGGCAGAGAGTAACTATGCATATTTTCTGAAGCACTAAAACTTTCTGAACACTAGGCTGACAAGCAGTGTTTATTGCCTTCTCTGGCTTCAAGTTTCAAGCCTGTTTTTTGGTCAGAAGTGTTCCATATTGTCCTTGGGTACATCCCATTTTCCTTATTTGATCATTCCTTGATCCTTGCTCGACCCTGATGTCGTTCGGGGCCGCCATCGTGAAGGATGTCCCAAAGCTCTTATTCTTGCTCTGAGGAGAGAGGAATGAGGAGGTTGGATGGAGGATACATGAGCGAGGATAGAAGAAGAGCATCCTTCACAGTAGTCTTTTATTGGACCAACATTCCCCTTCAAACCAGTTAATGTTTGGACAATTCAAATGAACAATCAGAGGAAAGGACATCTCATGTTTCTAAAAATGCGCTTCTTCGAGTCCTATCTCCTCACATCTTTTACTTTAATCTTATCTTGGACAGACTAAGATGCAAAGAAAAAATGTGAATGAATTTAAAGGAATTGGAATGCAGCCCAAGAGTACACCTGCACATCACTGCTACAAGATGAGATGTTAACCCGCTGGGGGTCAGCAAAACATTTTATAGGGGTGTTAACATTGCTTCTTAAGTAAAATAATTAGCCTTACTTTTACTTTGCCTGAGTTTTTTCATTTTATACTTATTTGACACCTTTCCAACTACATTTCTAAGGGAAACATACTTTTTACTCCACTACATTTATTTAACAAGTGTTGGTACCATTTAATGTTCAAATTAAGATTAAACCAGTGATTCCCACCCTTTCTGCTTTGTAACCACACATTAGAAAGCTGCTTATAGTCAGAGACTCTTGTCACTGTTCAGATGTTTATGAGCTTTTAGCAGTTACGCTAGAGCGATTTCTCCTCTAAAGTTTCATTTACATTATTGTTTAAGAACTAAATTTATAAAACTAGTAACCCAATATATAAGTAGGCATTTGGGCCGCTAAGGGCCATGGCATTTACAGTTTGAGTAGTTTTACATTGCTTTACTGGTACTTCCACTAATGTAAAAGGTGTGATTGTGTAAACGTTGTGATGATGTCATCACAGCTAATGCTCACTCCACGGAGAAGGAGGCACTGATGTCAGAGCTGAAGGTCCTCAGCTATCTTGGACACCACGTCAACATCGTTAACCTACTGGGAGCCTGCACTGTCGGAGGTGAGAGGAGCAACTTGTAACCAGACACCAAAGTTCACGCAGTAGGAAATTTACATGTGAGAGATTTTTTTGAAAATGAGTGGGTCTAGACTCTTTAAACATCTTGTATGTGAACTGTAGTTTCATTATTTCATTGTTTATCGGTTATTTATTGACTGGTATGTGTCTTTGGTACTGAGTATTGTCAGGAAGATTATGTGGTGTGCAGATGTTTTCGGCATAATGAGAGCATACTTTCAAAAATAAAGCCACAAATAGGTTTTATTTATGAATTAAATACAACACGTTCAAAAATGCAGTAAATAGAGAACCACTAAATCAATTTAACACTCGGTGTGACCACCTGTTGCCTTTAAGCCATTACCAATTTTCTTCGGCTCATTTGCGTACAGTTTTTTATGGTTGTTCCACCATCTTGGAAAACTTGCCGTGGATCCAGACTGTTTCTGACACTTCATGTGCTCCCAGACTGACTCTATGATGGCTCTGTGGGGGCTACATAGTAGTGAACACAATTTGGGGTGGATATTAATCTACAATAAATGTCTGAAGTGCCTACAATTCTTGCACAGCTCTGTATGTGCTCATGTGCTGCTGTTATGCCTAGCCAATATTGGCCCTTTATTAAAACTCAGATATTGGACATTGGGTATTAAGCAGTTCCTGGGGGAACGACAGTGGTGCGGTGGGTAGAGCAGTCATATCCCAACCAGAAGGTTGAAGGTTCAAATCTCAGTACCTCTAGTCCACGTGTCAAATTGTCCTTGGGCAAGACACTGAACCCCCCCCCATCAGTTGAGTTGGCGCCGCAGATGGCTGCCATCGGTTCTGTACCAGAAACAAATTCCTTGTGTGTAACATACTTGGCCAATAAAAGGTGATTATTATCCCTATTATATGAAGGCGTAATGTATTTGACTGGTCATTATTATTATTATTTACCTGTTTACCCCTCAACATTGATTGCTGGGTAGCGGAGCATTTAGATTGGAGTCCACATGTGTTATTAAGAGGGAGACGCTGAACATTTAAGATGTTTTTTGTGGGGGGGGTTGTTGTGAGACTTGAAAAAGCCTAATTTAAAGATACTGACAAATTTCTTCAGTATGTTTTACATAAAATATTGTCATTGACCTAAAATATGTTTTCACAATCTCAATGTACATCAGATGTCCTGCCTTGTGTCAGCCATATTTTGGATCGCTGTTAGAGCTTTGGGTTTCTCATTCACTGCTGTACATGTGTGGTTAAAAAAAATCTGTGAGTGAGTTTTCTTTTTGTCACTGCATCCTGCCAGGCCCAATTTTGGTGATCACAGAGTACTGTTGCTATGGCGACCTCCTCAACTTCCTGCGCAGAAAAAGAGAGTGCTTCTTAAACTCCCAAGTTGGTGATGGTTACTATCGCAACGTCTTAAACCAAACTGAGCCTACCAGGTGTGTCTGCGTGTGCATTATAAGAGGGAGTACTGTAACAGTGCCTACAATTAAAATGATTACCATGTGTGATTGTGTTTCAGGGAGGTGACTGGTGCAGGATATATGCCTATGCGTCCCTCTGAGAAAGAAAGGCCTTCTCAGTCAGGTAGAAAACCTCTTACTCTGCATTACCCATCATGCATTGTGATAGTATACTGTAATAAAGTCTACTTAAACCATGGTTTCATTCACTAAAACTAACAGTGTAATCTTTATCCAGATGTCTTAGATGAGCTGTCTCTGGATGCTGAGGATCTCCTCAGCTTTTCCTACCAGGTGGCAAAAGGAATGGAGTACATTACCTCCAAGAACGTAAGGCTTTTTGACTGTGTTAATGTTTAATATTTAAATAACAGTTACAGAAGAGGTTTTAAAGTGCCACTGCTAGTTTATAAATCACATTATGGCTCATGGCCATACGCTATCGGCTGTAAGTGCATATATAGGCTGAAATAAACAGTATAAAGCTGCATTTACAGTAAATCTTTACATAACAAACAGGTTGAACCAGCTTCTTTATGATTGTAAAGAAACTTCAAGTAGCCACTAGAGTCACAATGTTTAAATTAAAACCTTCCAATTTTCCTGGCTGGCTTTCTCTAAGTGCACTTTTGTTTCTTATATTAAATTAGGCACCATTTATCCCCTTAGGTCTAGACTGTAATTACAATGCTTAAACTGATTCCTTTGACTAATATTCCACTGTATATTTTTCATAGCTTCAGTGTTTTTAATATTTTACACCAAGACTTAAAAAAATAGACTGTAGATGACAATACAGATCACATGTACATCCCAGTATGTATGACCTCATTAACCCTAATACTGACCCCCACGTGAAGGGGGCCATGCCAGCCATGGCTACTGTGCCGTACTCTGTACCAGGCTCATTGAAAAGTGTGTAATGCTGAACTGAAAACTAACAACTCACCAGATTAATATCACAAATTAATAATATAACCCACCACATTAAAATGAAACAAGTACGTTAGCACCACAGCTTTAATTCTATTACTTTAGCCTAGCAATTACACATTTGTGATGACATTTTTTTAACTACAAAAAGAAGAGCAGCACTTTCAGCTATAAATGATGCAGGCCACTATGCGATTAATGTTCATTACGTCTAGTCTCAAAGTGCAACACAGAGCATAAATTTGCATGAGCATTTTTTTTCCTGTTTATTCTGTAAGGCCTTACATACAAATGCAAAGATAATATCAGCTCTCAAGACATGATCCTTAAGTTTTATAAATCTATTTTATATTTAAATTTATTAAGCAAATGACATAAACAAAACATATTAGTGGCGTCCCATTCCACAACTATTGTTCCATTGTTTCAGTGAATGTCTGTCATTTGTACAACATCATAAATTTCCCTTTTGTGTTTGTAATGAGTTTAACGCCACTCACCTCGATTCTGTGTGTGTTCTGTGTCTCTGTTCTGTGCTTAGTCACTGCAGAAACCAGTTACAAGGTCAATACTAATATCCCTGTGGGTGTTTGCTTGTATATGTGTGCTTGTGTGTATAGTGTATCCACAGGGATCTTGCAGCCAGAAACGTTTTGCTGACTCATGGCAGGGTGGCGAAGATCTGTGACTTTGGCTTGGCACGAGACATCACCACTGACGCCAGCTACGTGCTCCGGGGCAACGTGAGTCTGCTGGTCACTCTTTCTTTCTGACTATTAATCCTTCCGTCTCTCCTTCCTTCCTTCCTTCCCTATTTTATTTTCTCACTCAGTCCTGCTCACTGTTCGTGAGCAGTAGCCAGCAAAAACCTATCCAATTTTTACATATAGAATAAAAAATGCACCTGCTCACTGTTTTCTCAGCTGTGATAATACTGCCCATACTGTCCTTGTAACCATGGCTCTCCCTACTGCAGGCTCGTCTGCCGGTCAAGTGGATGTCTCCAGAGAGTATTTTTGACTGTGTCTACACCTTTGAGAGTGACGTGTGGTCCTATGGCATTCTGCTCTGGGAAATCTTCTCTCTGGGTAACATTTCCAGTTAGAGCTGTGCTTTTGCGTCATAATGTCAGAGCCATTATTGTTATTATCCATTTGAGCTGACCAGGGCCTTATTAGAGGCTCTGCTGATGCTTCCAAGTAGCAACATCACTTAGTGGAGAGAACCATGCAAGGCAAAGTCATTCTGATAGTGATGCAAAATGTATTCTTAGAAACCATCATCATCAGATGAATGCATGATTTTTTCCTCTAAAACTGAGACAACAATAATAAAATTATCTAAAGTATGTGTATATTGTATGTCTGTGCTGCAGGTAACAGCCCATACCCTGGGATGCAGGTGGGCTCGAGATTTTATAGGATGATTCAAGAGGGTCACAAGATGAGCAGGCCTGAGTTTGCACCCATTGAGATGTATGTGTCTGAGACAGTGGACCTTCTTATTTATGTATTACAACTAACCAGTGATGGAAGAATTACTCAGATTCTTGACTTAAGTAAAAGTTGCAGTACCACAGCATAAAAATACTCTGATACAAGTAAAAGTCCTCCATGAAAATGTTACTTTTGTGAAAATACAAAAGTATTAGCTTCGAAATCTACTTAAAATGCCAAAGGTAAAAGTAATCATTATGCAGAATTGCACATGTGAATGTACTTATATCATATTATTGGATTAGAATTACTGTTGCATTATTGTGTACATCACATTTAATGTTGTATCTGGTAAAGGGGGAGCTAGTTTTAACTAGTTTATATGCAGGAATCAACAAACTCCTGTGATTATAGTGAATGCTGTTTTATTAATTTGATTATGAAAAGTAACTTGTAAATAAATCTATCAAATAAATGTAGTGGAGTAAAAAAGGACAGTATTTGACTCTGAAATATAGTGAAGTCAGAGTATGAAGTAGAAAATGAAAATACTTACGTGAACTACAGATCGCTCAAAATTTTACTTTAGTATTTCACCAAATGTATTTATTTACTTTCCACCACTGCAACTAATGATTATTCTGCAATGTGCATTGTATATTGTATATCATTGTATAAATGTGACCAATAGTCCAAAGCCCCCAAAATATTTACAAGGAAAACATATCAAATATAAGCAGCAAAGCCTCTCATCAGAAAAGCTCAATTCAGTGAGCATCCACCATTTTTACTCAAAAGATGACTATTTGATGAGATAACTAATTATTGGAGCTCTTATTATAACCTGGTAGTGATGGTGGTACAAAAACTGTAAAAACATTCACAGACAATGAGACAAAACAGGATCAGTTGAATTCTTTACCCAGTTGTTTAATTTTACACTGGCTATATCTTTATATATAAATAAAGCAACTGCACTTAGTAGAAGCCTCCACATTTTCTGATGTTGAAACTAATCCCAGTTTCATCTTTTTAGGTATGACATGATGATGTCTTGCTGGAATCATGACCCTTTGAAAAGGCCTTCATTTAGAAAATTAGTGGAGAGGACTGAACTACTGCTATCAGAAAATACCAAGAATGTAAGTAGATGAAACCATCGAAAATGGCTCATGTAATATTATTTTTTATTGTTTTTCACATTTCACCTTTATTAGATAAAGGGCACAAAAGGAAGTGAAATAAAAGTTCCCAGCTGGAGCCAGATCATGGACTGTGAGGTTACATAGTATGTGTCACTTTGATGCCCCAGCTCATTCTGTATATTATGTATCATTTTGTTATATCAGTTTTACATGTCACATTTTTTATTTTACTTGTAGTATAATGTTCACTTTACTTGTCAGTACTACACAGACTGTGAAAACATCATCACCATTCTAACGTGAATTATCTTTAGAGCCTTGAAATTGTAAAACTCAATGTCACAAGAAAAAGGCAAAGCTTAGAAATTCAATCAACAAAAAGAAAAATATCATGTTTAATTATTTAATTACCTGGTATCATCTGATGACCCCTTAGGTTCCTCTCATGACCCCTTGTGGAGGTTCTAACTTCCCAGGTTGGAAATTCCTGCTATAGAATAAAAAGTCAGGATATCTTGGATTCTGCTTCATTGATTTTGACCTATTCATTTTAATCTGTCTCTTGAAAGTATCCCAGGTTTTTGGAATTGCATGGTGACAGCTGTGAAGGATCTGTAAAAAAAAAAGAAAGATTATCTGTTTTATTTATGCATTTACTGCCCAGGTCCCTGATGGACTAGTGGCTAGGGTTCAGCACTCTTGCCGCAGCGGCCTGGGTTCGATTCAGGGTTGCATCAGGAAGGGCATCTGGTGTAAAACACATGCCAAACTTCAACATACGAGTCGTTAGTGTGATGAGTCACTGTGGCGACCCTTGACGGGAACAGCCGAAAGTGCCATTTACTGCAGATATGATATTTATTGTCACATTACACTATTAGATTTTTTTGTGAAAAGCAGCCTTTGCCTTTTCAAAGCTCCCATAAAACACATATGTGTAATGTTCTTCAGGTGTACCTGACACTGAGCAATGCTCCAGCTCCTCCAGTGCAGGAGAGGGCACCGTCACGGAGGCTGAGCTCTGTCTGCAGCACCACAGCCCCCACCCAGCCTTTATTGCAAAGCACGGCTGACGTCTTCGTGGACTATGTCTGACACACACATTCTCACATACATATGCCCAAACGCAATGCTACAAAACATACAACTCCCCTACCTCCCTGATCATTTTCTCCTTTTACTGCACAAACTACAAAAGCCAAATACACTCTGTAAACTACTAACAACACAGTCACTCTAACTCTCCAACGCTGGCCTTTCTGCATCACACACACACAAATAGACACACATAGATACTGATATATACAAGCCTGCTCCAGGCTCTAATCATTGCCCTCTATCTAATATTCCCATTGACATACTGATTCAAAGGGTAGGTATTTCAGATGCATGACTATTTAAAGCAGATTCCAACACTAACCATCCATCAGATGCATCAGCAGCAGGAGTTTTAGATTACATCTTAAAACACTTTGGGGAAACAGACTATGCGTATAGGTAAATGCCCAACCTTGGGAGATGACATTGGACTGAGGCATAAAAGGGCAGAGTTGGTGCTGCGACGACAAGAGTAAAAGAGATCTTTGTGTCAGACTTGTCTAGAATTTTAAACAAACAATACAACATTTGGGTAAATACATTTGTTTGCTTTGTTGCTGGGAATTAGGTGAGACATTGTGTTAAGTATGGAGCTAGAGCCAGTAGGCAGTAGGTTAGAAACATTGAAGAATACTGAGTAACACGTTACAGCTCAGTCGTTTAAACCGTACAAAAACATTTAGGTGCACAAACAAGGATTATAGGTGGAACTTTACTAACAAGTCACTGCTTCAAAATGTTACTAGGTGAGCTTGCTTCCTGTAGACAGAGCCAGGCTAGCTGCTTCCCTGGTTTCACTATGTATGCTAAGCTAAGCTAACTATATCCTGGCTGCAGCTTCATATTTAACAGAGCTATAAGACTGACAAAACTCTTATCTACTGTATATCTCAGCAAGAAGGCAAATAAGTGTATATTCCAAAATGCCAAAATATTCCTTTAAAATTCTTTATTCACAGAAAGAGTTATTAGATTAACAAATAAGAGGTTGTCAGCATCTACTTTAAAACAGGTTTTAGGTGGGCTTAGGGAAAAAAGACCCTCTGACGAGCCATAACAAGGTCGTAGATGACAACTCCTGATAAAAAAAGAGCTGCAAGCTACAGAAACACTTATTCCCACCTGTGTTGTAGCTTGGAATACTGTGACTTAGAAGAAAGTAAGGGGTGTATTGTATTGCATATATGTAATTTATGGATAGCTTTAGTTTTGTCTCTTTAGCAAAGTCATTATAGCCCGGCGTTTAGAACTGAACGTGTGCTCTTTTCACTTCATGTATGTCAAACATGTATGCAATGTAAATACTATAGAGATGTGCCTTTTTTTAATACTGAATGCATTTGGTTGTGACACTGTTATGTGAGACAACAGTCAGAAGAGAACTTCTTTAAGCTGGTTTTGAGGTCCTTGCAGTTTTGATACAGTTTGGTTGACTTGTAATAATAAAGAAAGTACCTGTGATGGTAGAATGAACTGGAAAGTCTGTTTCCTTTGTTGGTCATGTTTCTGTTTCAGTGAAACAAGCTCCTTGAGGCTTTATTCAGGCCCTTCAGCATGCTAAAATGTTCACTTAGACAATGTTAACACGCTAACATTAAGCAAGTATGTTTACCATCTTAGTTTAGCATGCTAGCTTGGTAACATTTGCTAATTAGTACTAATACAAAGTACAGCAAAAGGCTGATGAAATGCAGGGCTTTGCCTAGGTTTTCAGACGCCTTAGAGCGGTCTAGGTCAAGGAGGTTGTCGTAGTTGGGGAGGCTGAAATTAGTCAAGGGAAATTTTGAGTTATTTTAGTTTTCTCTCTCTCTCTCTCTTACCTTTACAATATTTGTGGATGAAAGCTGGCAAAACCAATTGAACATATAGTCAGATTTTTTCAGAACATAGAATTCTCGTTGTTTTTAGCATACATTCATTCTCATACTGTATGTCACCTAAAGGCCTTTTTAAATTCATTTGGCTTAAGGTGCTATTTAAAAACACTTTTTCTATGTCAGGGGAAACCTTGGGAATGCCATTAGTTTTGCAGGTATTTGGTCAGAAACCAAGACCCTTGATAGTGTGGCCATTTGAACTGATCAAGCCACATGAAAGGTTCACCAACCCCTTAAAGAATTCACTCTAAGGGGGGCAAGAATGTCTGTTCCAAATTTCATGGCAATCCATCCAATAGTTGTTGAGACATCTCACTCAAAACCACAAATGTGAACCTCATGGTGGTGCTAGAGGAAAAGTCAGGAAATTACCAGTCATTGGGATTTGACATGTGAGAACCACAACGTCTGTACAACATTTTGTGCCAATAGTGAGACATTTCACTGGTTAAGTTAAAAACCCTGACCTGCAGGTTGCACACAATGAAAGTAAGAGGGTCAACCAAGTCCTTTACAGTTCATCCTCTTGACCTTGGATCCAAAATGTCACTGCAACCCATTCCACAATTATTAAAATATTTCAGCGTGGACTGAGAGTGCCATCCCAAGAAACATACTGAGTAGCTAATAACAGACTTAGGCACAACAGAACTGGAGCAGACGTGTCACATGTAGTATTTCCAACTGTTTTTATTTTCAAATTGACCAAGAATGGAGATGGGGTTATAATAATCGCCAACAGTTTGCTTCAAAATATTGATTATTATGACATTTGACTTTGGGGTAGATAAAGGAGCACAGTTCAAGAGCAAGAGAAGGGATATACATACATACAGTACAGGTAAGCATAGCACCGTTTTACACTGAATACTTGTGTTCTTAGCTTTGTGCATGTGTACAGTATTATACTGGAACAAGGGCTCTATAGAACCAAACTGTGTAGTGCAAAGGTGGCCTGTGTATCAGTGTGCGCGTGTGTGTGTGTCAGTGGTGGTGGTGGGGGGCTCACTGTCTTGTCAATGGCATCCAATATTGTACATCCTACACCCCAACTTTCAACAGCTTTTAAACTCTTAGAAAACGACAAATTTTGTGATTGTGACACATTTGGAGGTTCTCTTTCAATACAAAGCCTATAAATAAGATTTCAGATTCTATATGTGGATCCTTGCAGTGACAAACATGATTTTCTTTCAAACACCTCATATTCCTTCATTACAAAGTCTCTATATAATCCATAATCAACAGTTACAACATCCATTTGTCTTTTAAAAACACTTTTACATTCTTTGGGCTGGGTATCAGTGACACACACCATTTAAACATTTCAACAGAGTGATCCCTTAGACACAAAGTCCTTTTCTGTGTGATTGTGATTGATGGAAGACCTGGTTCGAATAGCAAGACCCTCACTATAAAATCTCTCAAATGCTTCTTTTGTGGACAATCTCAAGAGGATTTTTCCCAGTTAAGTCCAACACATCACTATTTAGTCTGCATTAAAAACACATCTCTGAGGGTTACTATCTGAGACTGGTCGGATGTGTAGTTATAGTAGTAAAGTGTCAAGCAGTCTGTCATTGTAAAACATTAACAGTGTCTATCTTCTTTAAAGGTGACTAATGCTCTGCAACTATCCATCCTTTTCCAGTCACACATCCATTTCCATATTAAAATATAAGGGACTACAGTGGCAGTTCACACGCATACAAACTCTCTCTCTCACACAAACATCAATTCAAGGTGAGCTGTCCCACACACAGGCTTGGAGAATACTGAGCCCAACCAGAGAGGAAGATTCAAGAATATTAGAATTCTTTCTTTATACTGCAATGCAAGAACTGATTGGCTATCGCTGGGGAAACAAATACTGACCCCCAAGTGATAAAAGAAAAAGGATCAAGAGGAGACGCTGTATTCACACACGCACCCCATCACGCGTCTTTATTCCACTCTGAGACGACACATTCCAAGTGCTCCTTTGCCAACCACTGTACCTCCTCCAATCCAAGGCTTTTCTCTTTGATATGGCTTAAAACTGTAGCACAGAGGCTGAGCCCAAATCCATCTGAGTTTAAAATGAATCCGGGCCCAGTCGTGCTTTCAATTGCGGTTTGAGATCTGAGAGACAAAACTGAACTGCATGAGGGTTTCTGAGGCCTGGAAAGAGAAGGAAGGATGAAACACTGAGGATACAGAAGACTACAAAGAAAGGTTTGCCAGTACAATGAAGTCAGTTTCAATCAGAGGGAAAGGAAAAAACTGGTTTTCTCTACAATACAGCTCTATTGCATCTCAACAGTCCTCTCCTGCTTTACTAAAGAAACAGGACATTTTTATTCCTAGCTTTGGAGACCTCTCCCTCCATTTCTATTCTGATTTTAAAAACAAAGAAATCTGGGTCAAATTTGATTCAGTCACTGCACCCTTTATGACATTTCTTCCTCTGGTCTTCACAGCATCAGTGTCTAATCCTTCCTAGTCTGGTTCCAGACTGAGGCAGAAGCTAAACTTTCCACATTCCTGAGAGTACAAGTACCATCCAGCAACTTCAGTCCTTTACTAAGTCAATTATTGTAAGACACAAGGGGCGGCACTCACTCACACTCACACACACCGTCATGCCCACTCATGCACACAAAGATTGCATTCCCAAGAAAGCACACACCAGCTCAGATAATCACACCACAGATTACAAACAGGTCTCGACAGTGATTTACTGTACACAACCACATCAAGTGAGGATATACTGTTTGTTACATATAGGGCTCTCTGTTAAAAAATAATCCCTACTATATACACACGCGCAAACTTTATTAGGGGTAATATCTTGGAAAATATATACGCCTTTAAATAGTCTGCTTGAAAAAAATAAGATTAAAAAAAAATTACTATGTTATTGGCACTTGGAATCACTAAACCCGTTATTTGTACAGTGATCATCCTGCAAATAATTCAGTTTAACTGTAATCTTGATTCTTGCCAAACATAATTTGTAATAACAAAGTCAAAAAGAGTCATTTTTGTCTCAGGGACACAGTGTTTAAAACACAGCTTTCCAAAAACAAAATAAAACAAAACAAAAAAAAAAAAAACCCAAGCCCAACCTTTTTTTTTTTTTTAAAAAAAAGAGACTGACGGTACTTTAAAAATCCTTATTCTGAATCTTTTTAAGGGAAGTGGGAGACGATACGGGTCTCAGGGAGCATATTTTAACTCCGTCTTTGACCAGAAAACACTTGAACAAAGTAAAAATTCAATTTTCAAAAGTGACTAATAAAAGCTTACACAGTTATTCTTTCCATGCAGTCATATAAAATACTACACTTCTGTTTCCTGTTAGGCTATATTGGATATTTACAGTTGTTTTTTTGTTTTTTTTTATCATACAGCAAATCTGTACAAGGCCAGTCCACTTTGACAGACCTTCGATAACAGTCTGTTCGTTACCGTGGAGATAAGGTATTATGTGGATTTTTGTGTGACTTCCACTGGAGACTGGAGCTTCCTCTCGACCCCAACTCTGAGGATTTAATTCATCCTGTTGCCATGGTGACAATCCTCAGAGCGAACTCACTGGCTTTCCTCTTTCCGATAATTGATTTCTTTCAGATGGAGGAAGGGAGGACCATGACTTTGGGGAAAGGGAAGTTGGTAACAGCCACATGACAAAAACAAATGTATGCAGCAATCTCTTCAGAACTGCATTTCTCCAGGTTTTCAACACATTTTCCTCTGAACTTTACTGTGGCTGGCTGCTGACACTGTCAGTCCTGTGTGATGACGAGGCTTTCTGCTGTTTCTGGGGCTGCGGTTTCAGCTGCTGCTGGTGCCTCTGGTGGTGAGACTGTTGCTGTTGCTGCTGCTGTTGTTGCTGTTGCTGTTGTTGTTGTTGCTGCTGCTGCTGTTGCTGTTGCTGTTGCTGTGTTGCCTGGGTGAATGTGCCCTGTTGTTGGAGTGGGAAAGCTGCCTGCAGAATCAACTGGGTAGACTGGTTACTATGGAGAAGACGAGTGCCCTGACAGCAAAACAGTGCAAGGTTAGAAAATAGAGCAATTATTCTGTAGTTTACACTCACTCACTTTTCACACATTCACCAAACAGTAAATAACAGCAAGTAGAATGTATGAACAACATTAAGTTTGAGTGCTGCTGCAAACACTCAACATCATCACAACAGTATTTTTTCAGAATTAGTCACTGCTGGGGCCTGTTGCACAAACGTAGAATTAAGACATCCAGGATAAATGACTGAGCTGAGCTCAATGAATCCAAAACACGTGCGTCCAGGCTTAATTGGTTGCACAAAGACCAAGCCAGGATGAGCAGACACGGATTCATCAAGCCAGGTGTAACCAATCCTGGATATGTGCGCGTTCACGGCTCACTCAAATAGACCC